GGGGGGTGGGGGGCGGCTCTGCCCCTCAGCAGGCCGCTGGGCCTGCTCTGTGGGTGGTCACAGTTCCGTCTACAACAGACATTTTCTTTATGAACTCTGTCTTCAATATGAAGTCTACTGTGCTTTCTCAAGGCTTTAATCTGATTAAAACATTTATATCCTTGTTTAGTAGGTTTAGATAGCCAGGGGTGTATTTAATGCAGAGTTTCTCAGTCTTGGCATTATTGGTGTTTCAGGCTGAAAGATTACTGGGGACAGGAAGCTATCCTAGAAATGTCTAGTTCTACCAAATAGATGCCAGTAGCATCTCCCCTTCCCAGTTGCAAAATCTGGAAATGTCTCCAGACATTGCCAAATGTCCAATGATAGGCACAAAAGGCCCCAGTTGAGAGTCATCAGTTTAATGCAAAGCACTATTAGAAATTGAAGACTTTGATTTGTCTCAGAATTTTGCATTGTATCACACACTGAAGACATCAGAGATTAATAAGGCATACTGGCCAGACGGATACAAATGCTACTGCCTGGTTAACCAATTTAAATAAAGTTAAATTTTGCCAAAATGAATCTAAACCCCTCATTGATAGTTAAATGTACCCTCTATTTTGTCTAACTGCTAGATGTTCTTGGCACATTCTGAATGGGGTAATCAGCAGTTTCCTTATATAGGCCACAATTCCTGGGAAATCTCAATAAGTTATCAAAAGAAATGCAAAAGAAAATGGAGTCTGATGATTCAGCTTGTAACTTTCCAGTAGTATCTTCTTACTTCCCAGATAAATTATTCTCTGAGTTCTTTTCCATTGTAGGGTGAAGGTGGTGGTGAAAATGACTCTGACCCTTTTGCGGTTGCACTTTGTATATGGCCTCCTAAGGGATGTTTTTTAATGGCAATTCCTCCCTCCACTCCCACCTCAAGAATATCTGGATTTTTATCATCACCATTTTCAGGTTATAATTTTGATTCTGATACATTTTAAAAAATGTCTCAAGTCTTTTTAAAGGAGGCAGAAGTAGAACTATATAATCCTTCTACATAGTTATGTGGGGTGTAGAGTCTTTCAAACAGAAAGCACAGAATAAAGATGTTATCAGATTTGACAGTGAGATTCATTCGCTCCTGCTCTCTCCTATATAAAATGATCATGGCAGTGATCAAAGGCTTATCATCTGAGGTCTGGATGTTGTTTAGGCAATCCTATATCACATACAGCAACAACACAGATAGGCTTTGTGACAGTACACAGAAACCTAAAGAATTTTAAGATGATGGCGCATGCCTGTAATCCCAGCAGCTCGGGAGGCTCAGACAGGAAGATCAGGAGTTCAAAGTCAGCCTCAGCAATGGTGAGGTGCTAAGCAATTCAGTGAGACCCTGTCTCTAAATAAAATACAAAAATAGTGCTGGGGATTGGCTCAGTGGCCGAGTGCTCCTGAGTTCAACCCTGGTACCAAAAAAAAAAAGAAGAAGAAGAAGTTTAAGACATATTACACAGTATGTTGCTAATTTTCGAGAATGCTGCTTTGTATGTGTTTAAGAGGAATATTGCCATTTGACATTTTTGCCTTTAAATACAAGTAGGTGATTTCTCAACAAAAATAAAATAGGCTTATATTATTCAGATAGTTTGCTTTCTTGAAAAAAAAAAGTCTCACTTCTGCTTCTATCCAGTATGGAGTACAAGGACTGGATTTATACTCCCACCTTATACAATTAAAGATCTGAAAAAAATACAAAAGAATAGTTTTCATGACAGTGGATACTAGATAATGGAAGACAGTGATTGTAGACAGTTAGGAAACACATATAATGAGTCTTATAATTGTATTAGCTTCCTCCCTTGAGAGACCTCCAAGCTATAGTTCAGAGATGAGCAAACCAGGAGGCACCCAACATATTCCTAGAGTGGAAGAGATGGAGCTGAGCATTTGGAAAACCCAAGAAGGCTATGGGTCACATAGAGACCACAAGAGTTGAACAAAGATCACCAGAGATGTTGCAGGGGTTCTCATGTATTCTGAAGAGTAGTGACTAGTGAATGAATATGAGGAAGCTACCCAAGCCCTGGGGTGAAAGGGAAGAAAACATCCAAAATGATCAAAGAAAAAATAATCTGATTCTCACATAGGATTTGGTGGAGGGTGTGGAATCCAGACAAAGACTGTCTGCATCAGGCTGACTGGAAAAGTTCATAAATTTCCCACATTGGGGAAAGTATTCAGAAGATTTTTGCCTTAGTAATGGAGGATAATTGTCCCTTCATGAAACATTGCTCCAAACTTGCCTAACAAATCTTAAAAGCAAGTCATGAAAGGAACAAGCTGTTTCTAAGTAACTTAACTGCATCCCAGAACAAAGCTCAAGAATATTTATAAGAATATAAAAATATCCAGCACTCAACAAGGTCAAATTCATGATATCTGGCATCCAATCAAAAATTACTAGGCATGAAGAACAGCTTAAAAATATGACTTAAATGATGATAAAAATCAATCCATCAAAACTGATAGCTACAGAACTGAAACAGATGTTAGAATTAGCAGACAAGAGCCTTAAAACAGTTATTTTAACTCTGTATGCTTGAAGGTTATTTATATAATTTAACCATATCAAATTTAATTTCTAAATAGGAAAGTTATAGTACTTGAGATGGAAAAAAAAACCACTGGATGTGATAACCAGGGGATTAGACATTGCAAAAGGAAAGATTAGTCAACCTGAAGACATAGCAATAGAAATCCAAAGTAAACAGAAAATAATTCTAAATGAACAGATTATCAATTTGCAAAAAATTCAAGAATCCTAATGTAAATGTAATGAGAGTCTCTGAGAGGAGGAAGTAGACAGAAATAAAAAAAATTAAAGAAATAATGTCTAGAAATTTTTTTAAATTTAAGGAAAAATATAAACCTGTAAATCTATGATTGCAACAAACCCAAAGCACTAGGAACAAAATGAAAACAATACTAAGAAAAATCATGACCAAACTACTTAAAACAAGCAAGAAAAGAAACACTTAAAAGCAACCAGAAGAAAAAGATATATATGTATACTTATAGAGTAATTAAGCTAAGTATGACTTCAGATTTCTTATCAGAAATAAAACTCACCTGAAATGATCATTCCCAAGACTTGCCTTGGACTTTTGCTAACTTTCCACATACATGAGTTGGAACTCCTCATATGTGGAAAGACATGAAGGAGAAACAAAATGTGAAGGACCTTTGTCCCCAAATTCAGGAAACAGAGCTGGCTGACAATGCAGACCACTCACTAGAAACTGACACTGAGAGACAAATTAAAGGTTATGATTTTTTTCAAATGTTTGTATTTTGAGATTTTACTGATACTGCAGATTAGCCTTTTCTTACTTAACACAATTATTTTTAAGGCTGTAAATTTATGTCTTTTGCATTAAGCTCTTTAATTGAAAGTTTTTTCTATACAAAGACAGAATTGATCTAGAGCTTTCTAGAAAGGCCATTGTTTTCTCAGTAATTTGAAAAGCTAACTTTTAAATTTCATATGGCTCGCATCTATTGGTGCCTTTCTGGGTTTTCTATTCCATTGTCTGTTTTTCTATACAATGATATTCATGCACTAATTACATATGTTTATACAGTGACTTGATATCTGGTAAGACATGTGCTCATTTTTCCTCTTTCTTTAGTGTTTCTTGATTCTTCCTACACTATTGAATTTCCAAATAAATTTTATAGTCAGTTTTTTAAAAATATATGATGTTATTGAGAGTTGCAGTTAGATCATTCATTTCAACCCGTCTTATTACAGATCAATATGTGTAAAAGTATCCAGTTCTATAAGAACGGTGGGTCTAGAGTGACTTTTTAATCTTCACAGCAGTAGTGGCAAGGGAGATATGATAGTGAAGGAGTGACAGTCTGCGAGCCTCGTGGGCATCTCCGGGTCAGATATCCTCCCTCTCCCTCTAAGGGTTAGCCTCCATTCACTTAGGGTGCAGACCATGTCAATATAACTTCACCACTGTGACCACGTTTGAGGGCATAGCAAGTGTGTATTCAGAGTTCCTTCAAGGCCTGGAGGAGACTAATCATTGTCAGATTCTCAGAGAGTAAATACAGTGCTTAATTTACTCTTAATCATTTCAGTCAATGCCTTGGCTAACTAAAGGGTTGAATTCTCTGTAACTCCATTTTAATAATATCTTGAGGAATTCAGACAATTTATTTTACATGTATCAATTTTTGAGTGCCTGCTTAGCTGTAGGTATTATTCTAAGTACTGAATATTCAGCAGTAAGAGGAAAAATATATATATATGTATACATATATATATATATATATATATATGTATACATATATGTGTGTGTTTTGTGTATATATACACACAAACACACACATACCCTTCTCTCATGGGAAAATCCAACATTTAAACAAATATAAACATTTAAACATAAATATTTAACTTACAGTCATTTTTAATGCTATGAAGGGATACAGTAGGGTTTTATGTGAAAGTAACTGCAGGGAAAACATGGAGATAATATACTGTTTTGTGTATTAGAGTATATCATGTACAAATGAAACCTCATTTAACCTGTAATTAAAAGGATTTATGTAACAAAATATACATGATTTTTCATATAATTAATCCATTCATTCATTTATCTCACATTATTTATGTTCATAGAGCACTATAATGGTCCAGATATGAGGCTGACAAAAATGACCAAGGCTCAGTTTCTATCTTTGAGGAGCTCCTAGTTTAATTATTTAATAATTGGCAGTACACTTGATAAAATAATTGCATATCAAATGGAAACCAATCTGTCCCTGAACTTTCTCATCCTTTCCATTTGCTTCTTCTAGATGAGGATAGGCATTCACTCGGGCTCCGTGCTGGCTGGTGTTGTTGGGGTGAGAATGCCACGATATTGCCTGTTTGGAAATAATGTCACTCTGGCAAGCAAATTCGAATCTGGAAGTCATCCTCGGCGTATCAACGTCAGCCCAACAACCTACCAGTAAGTGTTCTCTGCCCTCTGTCTTCCCGCCCCTGACTTTGACTAGAGCTGATATCCTGTTGTGAGAAGAATTTTTCTTCATCTTATCATTCTCCAAGATATTATATGTAGATCCACCCAGTCTAAAAGATAATAATTGTGACACAGACTTTTATTTGAACCCTGAGAGAGTGCATGGAAAATCTGACTTGACTGAGGTAAATATAGGTTTGTGATTCCCCACAGTCTCTGTCTCTCTGCAGTATATCTGTTTAAAATAAAAGAGAGCAAATGTTAACGGTCTGAATTACACTTTTGTAAAATCCCAATGTTTTTAAAATGTTAGTCAATGTTTATAAAAATCAAAGGGATAAGATAAGAAAGGTAGCTCATTTGTTTTCATTCTTTGGAATAATGAATATAAATAAATAAGAGCTCTGAAGTAAGATATATACTGAGTTCAGAATAAAACTTAAACTGTATTTATCTTAAAGGTCATTTTTGACAGTACTACACAATTTGGCCTCCTGAAATCATCCTTATTTTATGCCTGGTTCATGTCCTCTCCCCCACTATATTTAAGCTCCATATAAGCAGAGAACATGTTGATTTGGATCATCATTATAACCCAGGACTTAGGAAAAATGCATAGAACATAACAAGCACTCTACAAATATTTGTTTGTTTGTTTGTATATTTATTGGTGCATTATAATTATAAATAAAAAATGTAATTCATTGTTACATATTTGTACATGCACACAAGGTAGAAATACAGTACAAATGTTTATTGAATCAATGAATAAATGCTCAACAATAGAGACATATTTCAAATAAGTGGCAAACTTCTCTTGTAGAGATCTTAATAATGGTACTTTGTGCTCTAGTTCATGGAGCAAGGAACTTAAATCAATCATTTCATTTCTATCTTCTTACCATGATCACAGTATTTCCCATGATGGTGTTAATACTTATTTTTCATATTTGGATAACAGTGTAGATATATATATTTTGTGAAAACTTCACTTTTTAGAAAGAGATGACATGTAAAGAATGGGCCAAAGATCCAGGTATGGTGGCACATGCCTGGAATCCCAGTGGCTTGGGAGGCTGAGGCAGAAGGTTCGAGAGTTCAAAGCCAGCCTCAGCAATGTTGACATGCTAAGCAACTCAGTGAGACCTGTCTCTAAATAAAATACAAAATACAAAACATACTTCAATCAGAATGGCAATCATCAAGAATACAAGCAACAGCGCTCGCTTTGGCAGCACTGGAATAATACAGAGAAGATTAGCATGGCCCCTGTGCAAGGATGACATGCAAATTTGTGAAGCATTCCATGTTTTTTCGTTGTCCAAAGTACATGAATGAAGACACGAATTGTGTGAATATACTTTGTATACAACCAGAGACATGAAAAATTGTGCCCTATATGCGTGATATGAATTGTAATGCATCCCACTGTCATATATAACAAATTAGAATTAAAAATTTTTAAAAAGTATAAGTAGCAATAAGTGTTGGTGAAGATGCAGGGCAAAAAAGGTACACTCATACATTGCTGGTGGTATTGCAAATTCATGCAACCACTCTGGAAAGCAGTATGGAGATTCCTTAGAAAACTTGGAATGGAACCTCCTTTTGCCCCAGCTATCCCACTCCTCGATCTATACCCAAATGTCTTAAAATCAGCATACTTTAGTGGCACAGCCACATCAATGTTTATTGCAGCTCAATTCACAATAGCTAAACTGTGGAACCAACCTAGATGCCCTTCAACAAATGAATGGATAAAGAAACTGTGGTATATATACACAATGAAATATTACTCAGTTTTAAAAGAGAATAAAATTATGGCATTTGCAGGTAAATGGATGGAGTTGGAGAATATCATGCTAAGTGAAGTAAGCCAATCTCAAAAAACCAAAGTCCAAATGTTCTCTCTGATAAGTGGATGCTGACCTATAATGAGGGGCAGGGGTGGGGGCAGGGGAAGAATTCCGGGAACTTTGGAGTGGGAAAAGAGGAGGGTGATAGTGGAGGGAGCATGGGAGTAGGAAAGATGGTGGAATGAGAAGGACAACATTACCTTAGGTACATGTATGATTGCACAAATGGTCCAACTCTACATAGTGAACAACCAGAGAAATGAAGTTTGATTCTATTTGTGTACAATGAAACAAAATGCATTCTGCTGTGATGTATAACTAATTAGAAAAAAAACATTTAAATGTTTAAAAAAGTAAAATACAAAATAGGGTGGGATGTGTGGTCAAGTGCTCCATAATGCAATTTCCGATACCCCCGCCCCCACCAAAAAAATAGGCCAATGGTGTGGGAAGTTTGCGCTCTCAGCTTAGACATCATAACTCTTCCTGGCTTTGTTTACGTGTGACCTCAAAGGAACCCCTCCAAATCACACAAGACCTGTGCCCTTTGATGCCGATTCTGAGTTTTCATAATATTTTTTACGTTAATTGAGTTTGTGATGATCCTTAGTGGAATTAAATGATTCCAAAAACTCCAAACATGGGAGCATTTTGTTCTGTTATTGTCCCAAGACCTGCCAAAATAATCAAATGGAGCCATAGATAGACACATTGTGCTGCCAAGTGGGTAGTTTCTAAAATACATTAACTCTGGCCCCAAATCATGTTATTCCTAATAATATACAATACTTGAACATTCAGTCTATCTTCAGAACAACTTCTTTCTCCCTCTTTACCTATGCCTTATCAACCGTCCATTCTTTAACAAATATTTGTTGATCGTCTACTATATTCCAAACACTATATTAGGCACTAAGGATACAACAATGCAGAGCCTAAATATGATCTCTGTCCTTGTGAAGGAGATCAAAGACTAGCTGGTACCTGAGTAAATAAGTAACTATTACAAGCAAATGTGGAGATCAAGAAACCCTGAATTACAGTATTAAAGCAGGAGGAAGGGTAGGCTAAAAAAGGATGGAGAAATAAACCGAAATCAGACCAGCACTCAAGGTAAATAACATTAAGGGGTTTCTATCCACTTTTGTCAGCTGTTTCACCACTGTGACCAAAAGACCTGATAAGAACAATTTTAGAGGAAGAGAAGTTTATTTGGCACTCATGGTTTCAGAGTTCTCAGTCCATAGACAACCGGCTCCATTGCTCTAAGCCAAAGGTGTGGCAGAACAACATCATGACATAAGAGTGTGGAGAAAAGTGGATCAGGACATGACAATCAGGAAGCAGAGAGTGAGCATTCCTTACCAGGGACAAAATATAAACCCCAAGGGCACACCCCCAATGACCCACCCCTGTCTGCCTACAGTCACCACCAACCAGTTAATCCCTATCCATGGATTAATGCACTAAGTTAAGGCTCTCATAACCCAATCATTTCACCTCTAAACTTTCTTGCACTGTCTCACGTGAGCTTTTGTGGGAGACTGCATATCCAAACCACAACACTACCTAAGCCCTAAGATCAATAAATGACCTTGAGATGTTTAAAGCAGAGGAGGGGCTGGACCAAATTTGTGATTTTAAAAGATAATAGGAAGGAGAACAATTGCAGGGTTGGGCCAGGTTGGGGTGGAGAAGCAATCCAATAGCTGAGAGCAGGCTCTGCTATCCACGTTTCACTGACAGTCCCAACCATCTGTTGTTTCTGCTTGTCTTCCCATGCTTCAGCAGAGTGGCTGTACTCAGTGACTTTGATGTTCATTTTAATCAGGTGTGTCATAGAGAGAAAGAGAGTAACTTAGCTCCTGGTAAATCCTTGGACAGTCAAAGTCTCAGATCTCTTGTGTCCTTCTACCCTCATATATACAGTCCAGTCATGGGAAATTCTGCTATTCTAGGCTACACAGGCAGTTTATAAGCCAATAGAATGTACTTCTCCTTCCACTGAACCCCCAAAGTGAAATGCCAGCATCGAACTTGCTGGGACATGCTCTATCAGATGGCAAATTTGCCCTCTCAGAGCAAATAAGAATTTGTGAAGTAAAACTGTGTTTTAAGCTTATGAGAGCTTGACATTTTCAGTTTTCATCTTTGAAATTAAATCTTATAGAATTGCCTGGTTATCTTGAAAACTTCAGAGAGGTTCTTATACAATTTATTTTTAGTAAAATTATTTGATTATCATAAACTTTTTGAGAATGGATTAATTTGATATTTTGATAAGCTGAAATAATTTTCTGGATAGTTGGTTCAGAATATGCTTTACCTGGAAATACTCAAGTAATTGATTAAAAAATACTTAGACAACTGCGGAGTACAGAAAGCTAAAAGATAACATTTTTATGATCTCACTGCTGGTTTAATACTATATTTGCTTCAGCTATTTTTAAAAATAGAAATGCGTAGAACATCTCTTTGGAAAAGTCCCTCCCTTTTATTGGAACAAATATCTGAATGAATTAGATGTGTTCTAAAATCCAGTGGTTTGTATATTGTTCTAAAATCCAGTGGTTTGTATATTTCTACATATGTATTCATAAACAATATAACTTTATTTTAGTTTTTTAAGTTTTTATAAGTGGTATTTTACTATATAACTCTTTCTCTAATTTTGAATTATTTTAAACAAAATTTCATACTTTTAGGATCTATCCATGATAAAACATTCTACTTTAACTCATCATTTAATGACTGTATGACAGTCTAGTGTATAACTACTCTGTATTTTAATTTTTTTATTATTCCTCAATTGATGAACATGTAGGTTTATTTTCTACTTTCTAATATTAGAAAGTGTATTGTTAAGAACATTATTTACCTGTCCACATTAGATTACATTTCATGCAAGACAATAATTTAGCTTACTCAAGGTTACTAGAATCAAGAGTGATCAAATGTTGTTTATCTTTAACATCATTGTAGACACAGGGAATAAAGTCTGTAAAATCAAAACCACGACTTTGACAAGAGAGCCCTCATTTTTCTAGATTTTATGTGTGTGAGTTATCTTGTGTGCATGTAGTAATGCCCAAGGACCATTTATTTCCTCTTCACCTAGAGCACTTTATTGTTAATTTCATTCCTCCACAAAAAGAAATCTTTATGGAGTCTCAAGTTTTCCACATTTGATGTTTTCATATTTCCTCAATAAATGTGATGTTTTTACTCATCTTTATTCCTACTCAGACCTATTTTAAAATAATGCACATATTATAAACAATTGTTATAACATTGTGCTACTGATCTGTGAAAATGAAATAGTTGTTTATATTAAGAATGGCTTCAGCAAATTTTGAAGTGGCATGAATAATTGAATGATTTGCCTGAGCAGAGTTAATTGTTTTTCCTTGCTATATGCAAACTAAAAATGTAGAAAGACTCTTTAATTATTTTGATATGAAATTTTCTTAACTTTTAAACATTTTTGCTTTTCTCATTTTACAATTGATCAACTTCTGGACTTTCTGTAATGTCTATTTTTCCTTCACTCTAAAAGTGTTAAAACCATGCTGCCTTCTCAGTATTGCTACATGAGCAGCCCCTTAGATTAGAGAATATACAATGGATCAGAATTGAGCAACAGTTAAGTGCACAAGCTCAGAATTAAATGCCTCAGTTAGCATCCTGGCTCACACTCAGTATCTCTGAAATTTAGCAACTTAACTTCTTTGGACCAAGTTTGATCATCTTTATGAGCACCTATTTCAGAAGATTGCTGGTAGGATTTAATGTGATGTTTATATAGCTCATTTTACTTGGAACATAGTAGATATTTATTCATTGCTTCATCCTATTCTTGCTGTGAATAAAAAGATCATCTTATTTCTTCACTTGATTCTCATGTTTTATCACTCTAGCCACATTGAATAATGAGTGATAACTAGAATTACAGACCTCAGCTGACAATCCTGAGGAAAGAGTGAGTTTGGCAATTTGGCCCAAAGCATTTAAGTTCTGACTCAGAACTGAACTAGTGATCAGTTTTTTTCCTCCTATAAGTTTTTATTAGCAAAGGCATCTTACTGATGGTCTAACTCAGTCGTGGGACTAAAACTGGCTGTTTTCTTTTGAAAAATCCCCAAATTCAAGCAGATTTCCATAGTTACTTCAATTAATCAATACATAAAAAGATGTTTGTTTATAGATATACAGAAATAATTACTTTCTAATTAGATTAATTGCTTACTATTGGCTTCAGCAACATAACTATATGTATTTTTTAAATCTTACAGTTATGTAGGATACAAGTCTGACTGACATGGGTCTCACTTGGTAAAATCAAATTGTTATTAGGGCTGCATGCTTACTGCAAGTGCTAAGAGATGATGCACTTTCTTACTTTTTTCAGATTCAAGAGGAGGTCACCAGCATCCCTTGGTCCATATCCCCCTTCCTCCA